GACTTTATCTTGATGTAATTTTCCTTGACAAAAAGTATCTTTTTGTTTACTTTTGAAATGACATGTAATGCATTGATTTATATCTCTCAAATGATGCATTTTTTGAACTTGAGCTTTGAGAGAAAAAGTTGTAGAGAATTGATTTCCCTTCAAAATGAGCTTTGGTTGGGGAAAAGTTGATGAAGTATGTGAAACTTATGTTTGGTCAAAGTTCAGTTGACTTCTCTTAAGGAAACCCTAATTTGGCAACTTTTGACTTTTGATGATTTAAGGGCTTTTCTTAAGGAATCATGATCAACCTTTGATCAAATGATGGGTATTACCTCAGAATGTTAATGTTGACCAAAAATATTGAAGTTTGACTGTATGTTGACCACATTTGACTTTTTACCCAATATAGTTGATTTTCGTTCATCTGAGCAATTGACTGGGCAAACTTGTGATGCAAGGCATGAAATTTGGTATGAGAATTCTTAGAGACATATAAGGAGTCATGAAAACCATTTGAGACCTGTGAAACCCAATATTCCTTGAGAAATATAAAACCCTAGTTGTGAGTCCATTGCTTATGAGGAGAATTTGTTCGATCAATTCTTAGGCAACCTTGAGAAAATGAGAACCATAGGAGAATGTCTTGGAGAAAAATGGGAGTGCTACAACAATGAGACTTTTAACAATATGATCAAACAAGAGGCCAAGGACAAAAATGATTTTCGAGCAGAAGTGCCTGAAAAGAAAAAATCTAAGAAGGCTGAAAAGAAGAGTGTTGAGGAAGTTGTGTAGGAGTTAGATGATGAACCAGTTGTAAAAGTTGATAAAGAAAGAGTGGAGACTGAAATTGAGAAGGAGGAGGATGACAAAGAAGAGGGAGATATTGAGATGAAGGACACAGCTATCATGACTGAGGAAGACTCGGGCAAAGATGAGGAAGAAGAAAATAATGAAAATGAAGCTGAGGCTGCTATGGATAAGGAAGTGGAAGGTCCTAAAAAGAAAGCTGAAGAAGTAAAGGAGGAGGAAGAAGAAGATATCTCTGATAGTTTAAAAGAATTGGAATAATCTGAGAAGACTCCTGGAGAGTCGGGTGCTGATGTGACTCATGTAGTCACTCTGAAAAAGGTCAAGGGACCTGCAAAGGCTAGAATCCCATGTTCATCTATTAAAAATGACATAGGACTAACCCCAACCAAGACTCCGGTAATAGCCAAAACACATCCAAAGAAATCACCTATCAAAATTGCAGCTGTGAAACACAATCTTCTGGAGCCTGTCCAGAAGGAGGCTAGGAAGAAAGCCAAGCAAGATCTCACTCTCAAGAAACCCTCAAGGAAGAGCAGTAGGTTTTGTGCCTAGCTGGTAAGCGCAGAGTATAGAGACGTGCCCGCCCCTTCAACTGGATAGTGAGGAGACTGTCCTTACTCTAAGTTTTTGGGGAGTGTTGGCAAGAGTCATGACTCGACTCTTCTCCTATTTTACCTTTTCAATCATATCACTGTTTGCTTTATTGTTTTGATGGATGTTTCCATCCTTTTGTTATTGTTCTTTCACCTTTCCTGTTATTGGCTGCTTGCAGCCCTTTAATTAATGAACTTTTATTTTCTTTGCTTATATATATATATATATATATATATATATATATATATATATATATATATATATATATATATATATATATATATATAATAAAAGACAACTGAGTAAGGCATGTAGAAATCCCCTTAGGACAGACTATCTGAAGCAAAACTTAGAGAAAATCTAATTGGGACTTTAACGATATAGGGAACATGGACTTGACGAGTATTTAGAGAATTGATCTTATGTTATAGATAAGTCTTGTCATGACTCAAGTATTCTGTCAAAGTAGTCATCCTTTATGATGAAATTGATTTGGTTTTAAGTATGGAATATGAATTAGAAATAAGGCTTAGTTGGGTGGTTAATATGTTGGTAAAGGGACTGGAACACTCGGGGAACACTTCATGGCTTATCAAATAAACACACCAAAGTTTGTAAGAAAGGAAGTTTCCAAAAGAGCACTCCTAAATAAAGCTCTTGTGCCTGAAATTGGAAGAGCATGCTTTCAATCAAGTTCATGTGCCTGAAACTGGAGGAACAGTAACTTGCCCCATCATAATTAGTAGGTTAGACTCACCACAAATGATATCCCGTCAAGTGAAAAGGTTGGGTAACTACACAAATTTTCTTGCAAAATAAAAGCGTGCATGTGTGGGTCCTAGGTGTAATTTCAAAGTTGTATGAAGCCAATAACCCCTATCAAAAGCCTGAAACTCTAAGTACTAGACCATAGGAGGAAAAAAACAAAATATGAAAAATAGGTTGAGCATCTTGATAGAAGAGTTTTGTTGTGACAGGAAGTGTCTATGTCCCATAGAACGTATGCTCATAATTGTGCCTCTGGTCTGAGTTATACCTATTTTTGAGACAAGTCCCTTGAGGAAACATTTTTTAAGTTTTAAGAATGTTGGTAAAAGAAGTTTTGTTTGTTTGTTATTTATATATATATATATATATATATATATATATATATATATATATATATATATATATATATATATATATATATATATATATATATATATATATATATATATATATATATATATATATATATATATATATATATATATATATATATATATATATATATATATATATATATATATATATATATATATATATATATATATATATATATATATATATATATATATATATATATATATATATATATATATATATATATATATATATATATATGGAACAACCGACTGAACAAATCATCGAGATGAAATCAATGAAGTCGCGATCGAATGTTTTTTATCCCACAAGAAGGGAAAGGTAAACATCGAGTAAACTTGAGAAGAGTGAAATCAAGGTCAAACATCCGAGAGATTGGGTAAGGGATTCTGTTACGCAAGGAGAAGGTTTTAGCACCCCACATGCTCGTAGTACTCTATGGTATCCACTCTTGTTGTTATAATAAAATGGGTGTGTTCAAAACTACTGCTTACTATTTACTACTGAGGAAGAATGCATACAAAAGAAAGGAGAAAATAATGTAGGGAAAATAAATTTGTGCTCGCTTGGGCCCTACCCCAATGCCTACGTATCCTTTTTGAGGAATCAGAGTTACCATAGTTCGACTCAAAAGTTTCTGTTGGTTTGTCTTTTTTAATGGATGACTTTAATTTCGCCTTCTGCCGTAGCTCGATCTTTAGAGACTCACGCGTCAACACAGAAGTGAATTAACATGTTCTTTTGAAAAAGTTTGAAAGAAAAGCCCCGGAGGTGAAAAGGAGTTGGTATTGGTTGATATTTTTTACCTTAAAGAAGGATTTGAAAGTTGTTAGATGTTTTATGATTTTCCAAGAAAAAAAGTTTTAGTCTTAATGCAAGGATGCAAAAAAAAGAAAAACATCTAAGAAAGACTATCCTAAATCTAATCCCTAATGTTATCATACAATGATTGACCCTAAGGTTGAGTTTTGAAAGAGAAATCTCTATCTTATGTTAGCATGCATGTATACCTATCCTAATGTCTAGCTTGAAAGCTACTTTAATCGAGCGATCCTAAGGGAGCATGGTATAGAAAACAAACAAGCAAACAAGTGCTTGGAAAAAGAAAACATGAGTAGCACATACTAACTCAAAGGGATGGGGGAAACAAGAGAAATGCTTTAGCTAAGGGGAGCGTATCACCTGAAGCAAACAAGCGGGAGACTGATGAAATAAAAAAGAAGAGAAATGCTTTAGCTAAGGGGAGCAGACCACTCGAAGCAAACAAGCGGGTAGCAAAGTATCAACAATGGCCATTGCAAACTCCTGACAAAGTGTGGGGGTTAGTTGTGAACCCTTCTCCACATGACCGACTCGATACACATAATTTGCACGACTTCGAAGCATGGACGTACAACGTGAGTTAAGGATGACACAAACTAGAATGTGTGGGGGTTAATTGTGAACCCTCTCCGCTCGCCTCCTTTTGAGGACTTATCTTCTGTAATATAATGCGGGCACAAATGTAAACACACGTGCAGAATACCTACTTCAAAGGTAGGATTTTAAACAAACATAAATAACATACAGAAAGTGGTGCCTGCTACAGGACTTTCAACAACAACTTCGAGCGCACACTTTTTATTTCCTACTTCTCATGATATCTAGAAAGCAGTAAAGTTCCTACTTCTCATGATATCTAGAAAACAATAATGTTCCTACTTCTCATGAAACCCGACGATCTTCGCAAAAACTTCACCAATCAAAGAAAAGAGTCAGAAATCAAATGCTTGGAATAAATGTCAAAGCATCATCGATGTGAAAATAAATCATAATTGAAATCTCGAGCATATTCGCATATCACACAATAAAACTGCATAAGACTCAAATCTCAATAAGAAAAGGTGAATCACAAGTTTCGAATAATCGAATAATCATGAATTAATTCCTAAAAAAAAGTCTCCTAAAATCTAAAAATTTATATTAATGTTTTGTTTCATCAATATTTCGTATTAACAAAAATGTCATCTAACAATTATGAAAAGAAATAGTTAAAGAAAACTAAAAAACTACACAGGGGGTGTCATCTTGAAAACAGGTGGTGTTGTAGAAGCAGGGCGCTAGGCCAATTCAACTTGTAGTCCAGCAAGCCAGTTTTTTTGTGTTCACAACCTTGCAGGCTCCAAAAATCCACGTTGGGCCTTAGGATGAATGCAATTCAGCCCAGTTCAACAGACCAGTCCCGTTTTTTTTGTTCAAATCTTTCAGGCCGTTTCAATAACAACAAGAAGAAAAACAACGTGAAGAAATTGAAAAAGGGAATATGTGGAATTTAGGGTTCCTGTAGTGATTCTTCAACTTTTCAGAGTACGAGTGTTTCTTCTCCTTCTCAATCCCTCCGTCATTTCAACTTTCGATTCAATCTCTGAAGAATTCTTCGTTCTTGTATATCTTCGTTTCTGAATCACGTATGTTGTTGCAATATGTTGATTCAATGCAAACTGAGGATGCACAATTCGCTGGTACGGGTATGCTTGATAGAGAAGGTTGACGAATGCGGTGACTGTTGCAGAAAGAGGATGATGATGCACTTGAAGATTGTGGAGAAAATCCAAATATTAGAAGTTGAGAGAAGAGAGATATTTTTTGTGAGTTTTTCTTGGTGTGATTCTTCTATGAATCGTGAAGAATCAAGGTGAAAGGAGCAGAGAGAAGGTTGAAGATTCTTCTGCAGAATGAAGAATGAGGAAGATTGGTGAAGAAATAGGTTTATATATGTGGTTAGAGTTGGTTACAGGTAAGTGAATCTCAACCTTTGATTCTGATTAGTTGGTTAGAAAGTGAATGGTGAGATTGAGGCTTATTAGAAGATTGTTAGATGAACTGTTAATTCTGTTATACTATATTTGATTTTGTTATAGTTAGTTGTGCCAAAAAAATGTTAGGTATTAGCTAGTTATTTTCCTATTAGAAGCTAGCTGAAGTTGAGGGAAGTTAGATTTGTTTGCTTTGAAAACCGTTATTTTGTAAAAACTGAAATTGAGTTAATTTGAAAATGGATATTGAATGGCAAAGTTAGTTGAATGGTTGTGAACCCGTTTGGACTAGGTTAGAGGAAATTTAATTTGAAATTCTGTTAAGTGTTAATTGAAGTGTATTTTCAGGGTTGAGATTAAAACAGTTTGAAGTTAGTAAAAATGGTTAGAAAACTAGTTTAGGTCAACTAATATGGTTAGTATGTGGAACCTGTTAAGAACTGACATTGTTTCTATGATGTGAAGGGCCGCAATTGAACTGTTTCTGACCTGATTTAAACGGGTCTTTCCCTTGAACTAGTTTAATTGATGTGTGGGCTGGTTTTGTAAGGCTTGGCTTTATGTCTCTTGAACTGGTACGCAAGGCTGTAATGGCATGTTTTTATTGAACAGCTAGCCTCAAACTGATTTTTGCGGTGTGTTAACTCTTGGCCTGATTTATATTTTCCATCTGTTTTGATTTGCAGCAGACTTTAGAGTACTTGGGCATGAGCAAGGCAGCAGGTCGTGATGACACGATTTAAGAGCAAGATTCATAGAAATTTGGCTACAAATCTAGAACAAGTTTGGAACTGTTTTGGCAGCCGGTCTTTTGAGAAGCTGTAGCATCTTAAGGAACACTTAGGCTTAGGATAGATATATAAACTCTCTTTTTTTGTATTTCCACTAAATGTAATTGCAATATGACTTGCGATTTGTAATTTTGAAGAGAAACATGGTTGAGATTTGTATGGTTATGAAACCTTTCGGATGAACATGAAATTACTTTGAATGATGACTCAAATTATTTGAATGATGAATTTATGAACAACGATTGAATTTAGAATCATTTTAAGCGAATTCTTCAATGAGAACCCTTTCTCGATACAAGTCCACTTGTATTGCAATCCAAAATGAAGCATGAAAGAATTACTTGTATCTTTAATGACCCTCTAATTCAATTCACACTTGTATGAAAAATGACAAATACTTGAAGGAATGATGATGTCTTTGAACTCTTGAATAAGGTCTTGAATGAGTTTTGAATATTTGAAGCATTGACACAACTTTTGTAACTCAAATCCATATGCTCTCAAAGTCATGTACCTTCCTTCTTAATCATGTTTGCCTCATTTGATCGCATTAAATCCATGGCATAAAGTGATCATTTGAATGAATCCAAATCAAATTCAATTCTCAATTACTCCTAACTTCGATTCTTAAATCCATATCAAACACGTATTATAAGAAACAAGCAAAAATGAAAGAAGTAATAATGTCTCGACCACATTGAACCCACAAGTTCAACATCTTGTACCATAACTCAACATTTTTGCAATTCAAATCACAAGCCCTTGACTTGAAAACCAATTACCCCAACGGCAAACTAACCTTCCTTGAGGAAATTCCCTGACTCAGATGAAACTGGAAGCATAGCAAGACATACATGTGATAAAACCCTAATTTCATGAGATACATAGGGAAATAAACCCTAATATCTCGAACTGATGAAATTGGGAGAAGAATGACCCTATAGCTTGACGAAGAAGAAATTCTTAATGACCACGACTCATAACCCTAATTCCATTGCTCATTGCTTGAAGAAGAAATCATCCTTTATTGGATATGAACGCCTTAACTAGTGTAAAACCCTAATATTGCATGATCAACTAATCTTTTAAACCTCAGGGTATTTATTGAATGTGATGCATGCTATGTTAGTGACATAATGGAAATATGTGAATGCGACGCTAAGCCTAAGCAAAAAAAAAGTGAAATTAAGAGAGAATTTTGGGGTGCAACAATATATATAAAGGAGGGGATCAATGCTTGTTATTGTTTTGTTTCTCTTTGCCTATCGCGTCACTTGAGGACATGTAATGATTCAAGTTTGAGACTGTTCTTGTCTTCTATTTAAGTATTTTAATTTCTTTTTAGTTTAATTTCTTTCATTTTAGAGTTAATTCAATGTTTAGTGTGGAGCACAATAGGTGCTCCCCTTTTTAGCTTCTAATTGTGTTTTTGTGTGAACAAATGTTAGCTGAGTCGAGTAGAGGCAAGCCAGAGTTGGACTGCTGCAAATTGTGCAAGCTGGCAATTTAAATAAGAATTATTAAGCAAGAGAATTTCAATAAGGGAAGTTGTTGGCCTTAAGGAACGCATGGAAGGAGAATTAAAGGAGTGAAAACTTGGTGGTACAGAAAAAGAGGATAAAGTTATTCAAATCCAAAAGATGATAGTGGAGTAGCTAGAAGACAAAAGAGGGTACAATCGTATCCTGCTCTAGTCAGACCAGCACCAGCTGCGGCTGCTACGGGTTCTGTCACACGTCACCTTGTCTCCCACTGTTGTTCCCTTTTGTACGACTTCCTTATTTTTTCTAGCAGTTGATGGTGTTTTGGCCCTAATCCATTTGGGCTTAATGTGATTCATAGGAAAATATCATGACCCAATGCAAGATACCAACCCTAATCATTGGCCTATATAAAGAGAAGCTAGCTGAAGAGAAAGGGAGCTTTGTTGTCTTGAAAGAAATATTCACAAAGAGTTTGTGTGCTTGAATCGTGAAGTGTGAGAGAGTCTTCTTTCCTCGTCCATTTTGGTGCTAACTTGCGAGTGGTGGCGTGACTGAAGCTACCTCTTGAAGATTATCCATCTCAGTGAGACCTTCAAGTCCTCTCTTAGGTTTATATCTTTTGTCAATTTTAGTTGTCCTAAGATGTTTATTGTAAGAGCTTTGCTTTCTATTTGTACTCAACTCACTATGAGATAAACCTTTTGTAGTTGAGCAATGAGAAATTAATATTAAGTTGTATTTATGTTATATGAGGTGTGGTTAGTGCTTGTTTTACCATGTGTTGTTTGTTACAAAATTTGTTTCTTTGATTGATCAACTTAGAAATAGGTAACAACTTAGCGTTGAGAGAGATCCAATAACAAGCGTACTTCATGAGTAAAATTGATTAAAAAAAGTAGGATAGATATATTTACTTGACCTAGCTTACTTAGATATAAGAAGCTGCAACCATTAAGGAAATCAGACTAATTTAAAGACGTATTCTTGGGTTATAAGTGAGAGTTAGAGATTTATTTCCTTGCCCTTGCATGCATGTTTTGATTGTTGTAGAAATACACTACATGATCATTTTGACCTTGTCTGTCACGACTCCACACAACATTAACACATAAATGCACATAAGATATTAATGGATCTATGCTCAACTCAATCACTCTTGTTATAACTCACTTTTTTCACACTTTTTGTAGTCTTGTTACAAGTAGCACTCAACTCATCACCATCAACATTATTATTTCTCACTCATGCTTAATTTGAAATAATAGAACTTTACAAAGTCAAATCTAAGTAGCATTTACTTTTTGTGGGTACGATACTCTTATACTTATTACTTACTGCAATTACAACATGTATACTTGCATATGACAATTTAGAGTCGTGATTTTAATCAACATGTATATATCACAACGATTGTTTAGAACAATCGTTGTTAAAAAAATTCTTTAAAGTATATCATAACGGTTGTTTGAAATAACCATTGTGATAGGTAGCGCGCTTCTTGACATATAAACACGGTTGCACGATCATAGTGGAAAACATCATACATACAATCATCTTTTACCTTACAACGGTTAGTCAGTCATTATGGTATCTCTTTACAAACGGTTATGATATCTCTTTTTCGTAATAGTGAATATTATAGTAATTCTTGAAGTTATAAGACAATCACAAATGCTTGTGTCGGATAATAATTTCTCTTAAAGGTGTGGAGGAAATGTTTTGTACTTTCTCTCAAATGTGATGAAACTACTCATACGCTTCGTCATATTTGTTCAACTATTTGTTATATGTGAAAAATGTAAAAAATTCAGGTCATCTTAAGCATATCGATATCAATGATGTACCAACTTTAGTGGCTTAAATAGATTTTAATCTGTTTTTAATATTATATTAAGAGAACAATTAAGAATATTATCTTTTCAACATTCTCTCAAACAACTACTCTTTTATTAATTGAAACATGTGTGACTCCTACTAATTTATGTGAGATCTATTTTTAAATTAAATGATTCACACATCTTTTAACTAATAAAAAAGGGAATACTTAAGAGAAGGTTGAAAAGTGAGTGTTGATATCACTTCTCTTCATTTAAACTTATGCTTTTACTTCAATTGCATTGCATGACACCCTTTGTAATCATTGACAAGGAAGACAACAATAAATTATTGTAAGCATCCATTGATAACTTTGAAACTATAGTAGATAACAGTATTTTTAGTGACTACTTCCTTAAGTTGACTAGTTTTACTTTCACATTACTCTACATCTTGTCTTAAGTTGACAATAACACTTTTAACACATTATTTAACATATTAGTGTTTCTGGATTCGTTCCTATTATAGCATAGTGGTTGAAAACAGGCTTATTGTTGGATTGGTTTCTCTAATAATAGAAAATAAAGAACACCCATCATCTCTTTTTATGTTTTTTAGATTTTTGAGAGAAAAAAAAAGCAAAAAATGAAATATTGTCTAATTAAAATTAAAAAACCAAGTAGCACTAGAATATAAAGTGACATTACACTACATAATAATCTTTTAAATAATATCAAACTAAGTTGGCCATAAATTAATTTCTTGCTTCATTCTCATCTGGCCCATCATTCACTTGTTGAGTATCTTGAATTCCAAAACTTTTCTATTTCTTCAGCTGTTCTTCCCGGAATTCTTCCAGCAATCAATGACCACCTATAACAAAAACCATAATATTATTCCGTCACATTCTTAGTAATTATGTTATCAAATTACAATTATCAGAGTTTTTTTAAGTTTTTAAAGACTCTGAGTTAGTTAGTTACGATTCAACTGTAACAAAATAATTAAAGAATCTTAAAATTTAAAAAATTCAAAAATATATATAGTCAGTCATGCACACACTCAAAGACAGTTATAATGAGAGTTTAGATTATGATCGTTTTGTTTTTCGTTGTTGATTCTCCAACAAATTTTAATATAAAAAGTAATAGTAAAAAGAAATTTAAGTGATAATAACCTCTCCCCAACGAGATTATAAACCATAGTAATAAGCATTTCTTCATTTTCAGAAAATTCAACATTTGAACCTTGGCTAGATTGCTGATCTGCAAAAAGTACAAGGGATTGATCGTTTATATGAAATCAATAATCATGAACCATGATTTATCAACTAAAAGCTAACAAAAAAATACAGGATTTTAAAAAGGTATACATACCTGTTGAATCAGATGAAACATTGTTTGAGGAGGTTTCTAAGTCAGCCATTAATGCAAGTAAGAAGTTAAAAGAAGGTGAATGAATTAGGTTCGAATCTTGTATGTTATTAAGATTAATTTGCAGAATGAGGAAATGATTGAGTGGGATATTAATATATATAGGGGGAAGTCAAATCCTAATATAAAGTGCAACTAGAAAACTAGATTCTAGAAGGTTTCTAGAAATAAAAAAGAATTTGTAGGATGTGTAGAAAGTAAAATAGAGGGAAGAAGGGTAGCTGAACACATGGTATACAAATTTGGTCTAACTTTTGTTGGTAGTTGGGCAACTACTGTTAGACATGATAAGTCTATCTTAATAATTTCTTTTTTCATTTAATTTTTTTTTTTGTCTTTAATGAAAAATCTAAAATAGTTTTAGAATTCAGATATACACTAACTTCAATTATTTAACTTCAATTATTTAAGGTTATTTTCAAATATGTATATCTAAAATAATTTAATATTTAATTTTTCAGAAGATTTTCGAATATATATATCTGAAATAATCTAATTTTAATTTTTTAAAGGTGTTTTCAAATATACATATTCGAAATAATCTAATATTTTGTTTTTAAGAGCTTTCGGATATACATCTTTGAAATGTTCCAATAATTAAAATTAAGGTGTATTAATTACAATAATTAAAATAAAGTGTATCAATTATATTAATTATATTTTCTTATCAATTATTTACATAAATTTTATATATTTTCAATATGTTTGAAATAGAAAAATATTATTTATTTACATAAAAACATTTATTTAATATAATAAATTTTTTAATTAAACATAATGATTAATTATCAATTTTATAATAAAAATTAAAAAATATCATCTAAGTTAAATTAAATTTTTAAAATTATAATTAAAAAATATTTCTTATATTTTTTATCAAAAATTATTTGTAATGTTAAATAAAAAATTGAAAGACAATTATAATTCATCATTATAATTAGAAATTTAATTATTGCATTCATTATTTAATTTGATATGATAAATTTACTTTAATATTTAATTTTCAATTATAAATTTAAATTATTCTTTATTAATAATTATTAAATTTAATTATATTATAAATATATTATAAATAAATATCTTTTCAAAATAAAATAAAAAAGATTTTGGAATAATAGGTGATTTCAGATATGCATATCTGAAATCTCACTGAAAATGAAATATAGGGGTTAGTTCGGATATGCATATTTGAAATAATCCAATATCTCAAATTCGCAAGGTGTGTTCGAATGTGCATATCCGAAGGGTATTTTTGAATTTTTCATAGGTTTAATTGCACAATATTAGGTGTAAAGAGAGATTCCCTTTGATAAAAATATTCATTTTGGTCCCTTAACTATACTCTTGAGTTTATATTGGTCTTTTAATATTTTTTTTGTAACACCTTAGTCCTTTAACTTTCAAAACGTTTCATTTTAGTCTTTTTGTCTAATTAGCGATAGATTTAGGGACCAATTTCAAAAATTTTCTATCGCTAATTAGACAAAAAGGACTAAATTGCAACATTTTGAAAGTTAAGAGATCAAGGTGATACGAAAAAAATGTAAAACACTAATATGAAATCAAGGGTATAATTAAAGGACCAAACTATATATTTTGTCTAATAATTTTGTTATCGCGATAAAATCTTTATCCGGTTAGGTTTAGGTATCGCAATGGCGCGAAGACGGTGTTTATCTTTCTCAAATATAAACTCAAATTTTTTAATATTTCTCATTTCTTGCTTGAATTTTGAAGGTGATGAAGAATTAAAATTTAAATCCTTTTTTAAACAAGTTACGGTTATACTTGGGTATTTTCACTAGAGGTGAGAATAAGTTAGGCCAACTAACAAGAACTTATGTCCTAGTCTACAGAGGTTCAAAGTATATCAATTTTTTTAAGTAGAAAATGCTTAGGCTTTTTATAAGCCTATTTAACTAAAAATTAGGCTACAAGTCACATAAAAGTCTTTTAAGTCTATTGAGTCGGTCTGTTTAAGTACACGTGAATAAATTTATTATTGTTATATTATATTTTATATTTTAAATTAAAATAGAAAAAATAAAGCATACTTATCTTGAAGATATTATGTAAATAAATACAAAAAACATTTATGAACAATATTATAAGTTGTTTTAATATGTTCTCTCAAATAAATAGTATCACAAAATTTATACTAATAGATAAACTCGAATGGGTCAATGAAAACAAATATTTATGCTCGTTGATCTTTTAAAAAATCAAACTCAGACTTAACAAAACTTAACTCAGCCCAGACTATCTTCACCTCACCACAATCTATGAATTGAAGTAAAAATTTTATTAGACATTCATTTTTTCTCAATATTAAATTACATTATAAATATTAATTTATATTATAAATAATAAAATTAAGCTATCTAAAAAAATTTCATACATGCATTTAAAATAATAATCTATAAATTAAAACATCAAAGCATTAATGACAATATATTTAATATTTTAAATTATCAAAATTATATAATAAAATAAACTTAATGAATTTGAAGTGGACACTAGTCTCTCATTACGTGGTTCATTCTCATATTTTATACTCAAGAAAATCCAAATCAAATATAATCTCAATTAAAGTAGATTTTCTCCATCAAACTCGAAACTGATTCAAGTGGATCTCATGAGCATGAGTTATGTCGTCATGTATAATTAGGTCATGCATTTCAATTAATAATCTCGAAGTTCAACAAATGACCCTTGAACATATAGCTTTATTGAGTCAATCCAATTTTTAAACATTAAATTTAAGTGTAAAAAGTTAAGTTATGAATAGATAAAAATGTTTTACCTACTCTCGAACTCCTCATTTCAAATCAAGACTTTGATATTAACTATCGAAGAGTTTAACCGAGAGCGAGAAATAATAAACCAACTAAAATTGTTAAAATCCTGATTTAAAACTTAAAATCTATAGATTTCACGCTTCTAGATCAATATTTCGTGTTAAAGCATAGGTAAAAATGTTTTTATGTAAAATTGTATCCTGGTACGATTTTAAATGATTTAAATCACTATGAAATTAATAAAATCGTATAAAATCGTTAAATTTTACTCTTTGACTCAATTTTACCTTTTTTTTGTCAAATTTAAAAAAAGTTCATTTTATATTACCATAAATTTGAAAAATCTTTATCAACAAAAGATGAATTTGATCAAATTGAAGATGAAGACACTAATAAAAATGATGTTGTACGAGTATTAAATTTTTAATTAAAAAAAATGATGATGAACATGAAAACACTTATTTTTATGAATTTGAAAAACTTATAAAACTCTTATTTTTTAGATAATCTTTTAAATATTACTTTTTATAATTTAGTAGATAATTTATGTAGTTTAATATAAATTTATTAATATTATACTTTATTAAGATGATTTAGTATATTTTTATTTCATAATAAATTTTAAATTATTAATATATATATATATATATATATATATATATATATATATATATATATATATATATATATATATATATATATATATATATATATATATATATATATATATATATATATATATATATATATATATATATATATATATATATATATATATATATATATATATATATATATATATATATATATATATATATATATATATATATATATATATATATATATATATATATATGGATCACTTTTTAGTTATTCAATATTTGATTTGATTATATTTTTTCATAACCTAATTATGTTCAATTTTGAGATTTAATAACAATCATTTGTTAAATCAAAACATAAACGTGGATTTGAATCATTGAAGCTCTGTTGTTATGTTTTCGAAATTTGATGAGAAGTAGTAGTTGAGCTTGTGGTAGCTGATAGATTGTGTTGTCACAAGAGTTTCGTAAGACACATTTCACGTTAGAATATTAATTCATTAAAAATAAAAATTAGTATTAAATTAAACCTTCATCTAGAACGTTTATAAAAATAAAGTAAATTAATATGCATCTAGAATCTCTCTTTGATATGAGGTTTCGTGAAGTTATATTAAAATATTTTGACTGGACTAAACAATATTGATTTGAAACAAAAAAATTTGTCTTTTCTTTATTTGAATAAATATACATAGAACTCACACCATTTACACTTTTTGTTAGACCTTATGAATTCAATTCAAAATTTGAAGACTCTAAAATCAATATTCTGGTTCAACGCGTTATTACTATTAGCTTTCCAAGTTCATCAACAGATTTCAATTATTTACTTTTTCATTAAAACATATTAATGATATTTTTTTTCTAATAAAATAAATTAAATTAAAAAATAATGTGTGATAAAGTGAGTTACTCTTGCAAATAGAATGATACTCAACTTTTTTTTCTTACTGCAAATAGAATAGAATCATAGCATTTTCTTTGCCAGAAAAAGAAAAGAATTATAGTACTATGATGCGTGGCGCCAAATGGTGGTGACTCATCTCCCAAATGGATAAGACATTGTGACCTGAAAATAACAATATTAGAAAATATTTATTAATTTAATAAAAATTAAATACGTTTTTAGTTCATATAAATATATGATCTTTCAATTTTAATTTTGGATAATTTTTTTTTAATAATGGTCTCTGCAAATTTTTTTCATCCACAATTTTGTTCTTTACCGTCAATTTTCATTAACGGAAGTTAATGTGGCACGCTACGTGAAAGACATTTTGACAAAAATTTAAAAATATTTAAAATTACAGGAGTTTTAAACCTCCTCTAAACAAACTCAAAAAAAGAAAAATATTAATTATCAACTTTTCTCAAACACCTTACAAGCAAGTTTTGCAATAATGACGGTCAATTGAAACTGATGCATACTCAACAAAAATAGTACTATAGTTTATTGTTCAACTCTCAAATTAAACACACAAATATCAGAAAATGCTATATACTTTCCTAGTCTTTTCTTTAAGTATTCTCTTCCCATATAACACTCACAATCACCTCTTCTTCTCTGTTCCACATCCTCTCCACGGTTAGAA